AAATAAAATAGAACACGAATGCATTTTATTTTTGTACTAAGACTAAAAAAGTTCAATTTTCAAATGTCCTGCAAGTCATTAGAAAGCTGGAGAATTTTTCACAATTACGCAAAACAAATAAGAGAGGGTAGCGTTCTAATATGTTTTGCAATGCATAGATCCTATAATTAAAAAATAATATATTAGTTTTTTATAACAAAATGAATATTCTATTTGCTGAAATTAAATCCTTCAATTTTTTAGCCTTCCCGCAGAGTTTACTGTCATTTGTATGTAGTGAAGATTTCGTGCACAGGTGAGGTGATAACTGTTACTAACAGAGTATTAATTCATATCCCGCTTGTCATTAAATTAAACTTTTGCCAGATACCAGGAAAACCAGGATTAATCGTCAGTAGGTCTATTATTTTTGCAGAAGATAATCCATGTAAATTGATGAATTGCTTGGATTTGGAGACATGTCATATCCAGGAAAATGACACAGCCATATGCAGATGTATTCAGTATTGTCCACCTGTTATGAAGCCTGTTTGCTCCATTGTTAGTTATCTTCTTTTGCTTATTATGTGCTAATTTTTAAATACGTGGGAAATATCATTAACTTATCTTCATAGTTTTGCTATATCATCAAAATTGAAATCACAACAAATAAGTAAGCAAATATTTATGCATGTAAAGAAGGCACTTTGATTTTTTCCACATCTCAAAAAACTCCCAAACCTCAAATACTTTAAGCGTTAGCAAATCGGGGCACTCATTGTAATATGCAACTTAGCAGTTACTGTATACATTTTTGCATCATTTTAAAATAATGCGAGATGCATTGTCGATATTCCAGAATGGAAAAACATATGATAACGAATGTGTTTTGCGACGTTCCGCATGCGTATCAAAAATATACAATGCCGTACGGCATGAAGGTCCTTGCGGTAATTTTTTTTCGTAATTTAGAAATATATTTTGCCTTATAAAAGTATGAATAATTTTTCATGCATTAGAAGCATGAGGAAGAAAATTTCAGTTGTTTCATAGAATTTTAAATAAATATTTAATAAATAGTTTAAAAATTTTAATAGTTGATTTTGTAGCTTTTATATATTAAATATTTTCTACGAAGAATTAGAAGAGTCAGTGGGAGATTGATTAATGTGAAAATTTGATTAAAATTAAATGACTAAAAGATTTGCTTGAAATTAATGTAAAAGACAATAACAAAATGAAGGTCTTGGTGCATGCTCTGGTTATGATGGTTGTCGGCCATTTGAAGTATGTATTGACCGAAATGGACAACCAGTATGCGAATGTGAAACTTGCGATTCGCAACTCAACGAAGTTTGCGCATCCGATGGCATCACTTATGCAAATGAATGCAAAATGCGTCTCGAATCCTGCTTGACCGGCAAATTTATTTATCAAAAGTATAGTGGGGTGTGTGGTAAGTTTCAGATTATTTGTGAGAAATTTATTTCTCTAAGCTAACAACGACCATCATCGTTGCAGTTATTTGCATGCAAATTCGGATAGCCAATTGCAGGGAATACTTGCACTCTCTGTTGCAACATGTGCATTAAGCCACAGATATGAATAAATGATAAGTGTCTCTTAAAGAATAATCTATCTATTCAATAAAGCATTTCAAAAGTTAATGCGAAATTAGTATTTCTAAAAAAATGAGTATACATTTAAAATGCAATAGTTATTTTGAACGAAAATGAATTTGAGAATGTCAGGGTCAAATGAAGAAAATTTTTGAAGTTTGATTTCAAGGAAAGTTCATCGCTAAAAAACTTTCAATTATTGAAATCTGAATTTCTAATAGAAAATAATTCTTAAATTAAATTATAAACAGATGGTTGCATAAATGTTCGTTGCGAATTTTATGCTATTTGCGTGTCGGATGAAAGTGGCAATGGTTCTTGTCAATGTCCGGATCAATGCGCTTATGACAATTCTGGTTTCTTTTTGCTATACATTATGTTTTACGCAGTTGATATATCGTTATTTACGTATCCTGTAGATGAGAATATGATGGGAATAGATGAAAAAAATGGGAATACTTATAGGCGTAAAAATTATTGGCGTAATCCAGAATAAAGAAACGGTTAGCTTCATCGATCTGGTATTGCATTGAAATGCCTTATCGTACCTATTTGAATAATTATAATTACTTGTCATTCACAATTCCATTATGCCTTTACTCATTTTTTATCAAAGGCATTTCTGTCTACTTGTACATATTTGGTACGAATTTTCAGGGATGATATGTGCAACAGATGGTATCACATATCGCTCAGAATGTCATATGCGCCAAGCTGCATGCCAGCAACAAAAATTCATAGTCATTGCTTTCCAAGGTTCCTGTGATAGCTGTTCAAACACCGTTTGTCTTGATGGACAACAGTGTGAGAATGGCATTTGTTCCTGTCCAAGTAACTGTCCGGATGTTACCGAAAATAGTACGGTATGGTTGTAACATGCGGCTTTTTCTATCCAATATAGAGTTTCATGTTTTCATTATTCTAAAAAGAAATAATCAAATTACGGAAATCTGGAGTTCAGTTATATTTAAGTTTCCAGTAAGCCTTTAATTATCTTCTCTTAATTAATGAGCAGAAATCTCAGAAGAGAAAAAATGAAACAGAAGTTTGTTTAATTTTTAAGATGAAAAATGTTATTCAGGAGCACTTCAGTAATTGATTCTAGGGAGAATGAAAGTAATATCATTAAATTTTGAACAAATAAAGATGGACTAGGATTTTCAAGTTTAAAAATTTAATCTTAAAGATATGTGGTAGTGATGGAATACTTTATCCATCGAAATGTCATTTGAAAATGGCGATCTGTCACAAAGGTCTTGAAATATCTCCCCAACATCTTAATAACTGTCAACAGTCATTACGTAAAATTGGTTCGTTTATTTTTGTTTACTTTTATGAATCTTCAAATAACAACAACAGTTATACATTTAATTCAAATGAAATTTCTGTGTTGAAATCTTCAACAGTCTGTCATCATTGACTATTTTATTGAATTTTGGATTCCAAAGATTAAAAATAATCATTAATGCGTGCTTAGTAAAAAAGGAATAAAAATTTGCAACATTTATTTTTGCAAAAACTCACATCATAATACATTGATTTAATTAATATTACAAGCTTATAATTGCAAGCTGATTAATTAATTTTTTTTCGATGAATTTTAACAAAATAATTGGTAACATATGTGATGATATACTGATAATAATATCTTTGATAATAACATCATTCATTTTTTTTCATTACTTGTAATTTGCCAACTATTTTTCCTATTTGCCCTCTATCTATCCTTTCATCTCTTTTTCTCTTATATTGGTCTTTTTTTAAACTAACATATTTTGCATGCAAATGTAATTTCTAATCTTCATGGTAAAATGACCTAAAATAGAAATATGCCCGTTACGTTATGAGAAGCGCTTTTGTCACATGACAGGAACTCAGAAATACTTTAATCTGATCATTTCTTATGAATAAATATTCAATGCTTAACAAGAAATAGTCATACTGAAATCAGTCATTCGTTTATTTGTGATAATAACTGTTGATATGATAACGAGGAATCACGGCAAATCAATGAATCATCATGTGTATATCGTATGGCAACAATAGCTATGGGGCGTTTATGTCGCAGTGAAAAGAGTCCATTACTAAAAGCCAAAAGTAGCACTAGCAACAATCCCGTAAAAGCTGAAAAAAATTGAGAGATTTACTTCAACAAACAGAACAACTGCAACACATTAGTATCATAAGTTTATATAAGTGTGCCGTACTTTGATAACTTTTGCATATTTACCATCTTATCTCCAACAAAGCCACTAATGTTTGTTGTGTTTTGTATTAAAGTAAAGTGAAAGTATGTGAATGAGCAGATTGAAGTTTAATGCTTCTTCAACTAAAGCATTTCTAATGTGAAAAAAGGCGGAAATTTTTGAGGTGAAAGTTTAATTTGAGCTGTAATGATAATTTATGACCAAATTAGATAATGGTTAGATACCGCAACTGATGGGCTTAAATTAAAATTGAATGATTTGATGATTGTTAGATAAGCTTCAAGATATTTGCGCTCTTTCTAACCCTTCTCTTCTTCGGGTGATTTATTAAAAAAATTCCGCAATGTAACCGTATTTTGCTTTCAGTGCTAGAAAAGATAAAAATTAGCCCAACTATGAAACCGAGTAATTTATTAAAAAAAATTCCATAATGTAGCTTACCTTCCCATAGTGCAGTTGTTTAGGTGAATTTTCTACAATGAGTAGTTGCGATCAGCGAAGTTGTTCTTTTGGTGGTATTTGTATAGCATTCACCGAGAATCATCAATCCGAGGTATGTCTGTGTGATTTCAATTGTTCCGCAACAGATGATATGGAAGCCATTTGCGCTAGTGATGGAAATATCTATAATTCAACATGCTTCATGGATTTGGAATCCTGTAAACAACAAAAATCCATTTATCAAATGACACCGATACATCTTTGTCATTATAATGGTAGTAGTAATAATGTTGCTATTTATTTTTGTAATAAAATTTTGAATGAATCAACTAAACATGTAATGTTCAAAAAAGATTCATCGGTCAATTTCATTTTCGGATAAAGCTATAGACTATTTCTATAGACTATCTAGATTATAATAATAATACTTAAAGTTTCAGTATTATTTTATAGATTTGTTTTCAAACATTGTATACTTCTAAAATGATAAAGTAATCTCCTGCAAGTCTCTTTTCGTATATATTAACATGCTGTGATAAATTGATATCTTATCATTGTAAAATTTCATTTTTATCTTTCCACTCTTTTTCTGTATTTTCTTAATGATAGAATGCGGAACTGATTAGAATTTGTTAAGTTTATTTACTATCAAGTGAATAACGCTTCATAAGTTGAAATCTAGGAAGTACAATTAGGAGAGTAATGTCGTAGAAGAGAGAGAGAGATAGATAGAGAGAAAAAATAGAACTAAAAATTGATGTGCAAAAGTGTATGTTTTGTTCGAGCCTATTATTTGTTTACTCTGTTTTGCTTCCTAAATGAAAAAATTTTTTTTAGCTATTGCAAAAGATCGCATAATTTTGCAGATGAATGCAGCTGCAACCGTATCGGATCCTATAGTAATGTATGTGATCAACATGGACAATGTCGATGCCTTCCTGGTGTGGGTGGCAAAAAGTGCGATCATTGCATGTCCGGTTTCTGGGGATTACATCTGATTGCCAAAGGTGCATCAGGATGTCAGCGTAAGCTATTTTCCGAATTATGAAAAATTAAAGATATTCCTGTTAGAACTATAATACAACATTTTCGCATTTAATCTTACAGCATGCGGTTGTTCGGTATTTGGCTCTTCGCGCTTTGATTGTGAACAATCAACAGGTCGTTGTCAGTGCAAACCAGATTCATACGGTTTGAAATGTGATTCCTGTAGTCCGGATTTTATTTTAACTTCAAATGGTTGTATGAAAAAGACAGAATTATACGCTCCCAAGTAAAATAACTTTTTTGTTGCACAAAAATTCCAACTATTTGAAAATTAAAAAGAGTAATACCTCTATGCCATACTAATTTCAATGAATCAGATTCCTTATATTCTGAAGTTTCGTGCGATCTTTTTATTTAACAGAGTGATAAGATAGAAAGAAAATAAATGATGAAGCGTTCTTTTTGATGATTACTGCTATAATTCAACAAAATATATAAATCTTTGGTTAACAGAAATGATACTTAAATACAATTGAATTAATAATTATATAATCTGTAATAAAAATTGTCCTATTCTAATTAACCATTGATTTTAATAATTTTAGAAAAGCGGAATTTTAAACAAAATACGGTAAACTAAGATAAAAAGCTATAATTACGCATCATTTTAAGGGACTGCAACGATCTACGATGTTACCATGGAGGAGTGTGTGCGATTGCTTTATCAGGAATGCCGATTTGTAAATGCACAAAACAATGTTCATCAGATCATCTTGGAATAGTAGCTGAAATGATTATCTGTGGATCTGATGGTGAAACTTATGATAATATTTGTGAATTGCAACAGTTTGCATGCAAGCATCAATTGGATTTAGTCCCTTCATCACTTGGTACCTGTCCACAAGGTGCTGTTTATTACGACTATTATATAATGATACAAATTCCTATTATATAAAAAGTAATTCAGTAGACATATCTCAGTCTGAATGGAGTCGATGATAGCAGCAATATTTGCGGCATTTTGTATAGGTTTATCAACTAGACCTAAGAGCCAATAAAACTTTCGTAGCCGTAATAATAACAATATCAAATTAAGGAATTAATGATAAATAAAGACTGTAATAAGAGCAATAAAACTGCCAGAAATCATGAGAATTACTGATTATTAATTTAGGTTTTTTCAACATATCACATTTGCGATGGCATGTAATCTTACTAATTTTAGTATTCAATTTCGTTAAATTTTAAAAATATATAAAAATATATTTCAGATGTTAGTAATGGTAGCGGTGAAATGCAGCGACGTCGAGAGCGTAAATTAGATGCGCCAACATTTTCAGGAAATTTATGCATAGATGATACTGACTGTCATATTTTTAATACATACTGTGGTGAAATGAATTTCATGAAACTGAGATCATGCAAATGTAGAGAAGGATTCTTTCCTTCGAAAGATATGACACAATGCATACAAAGTTAGAATATTAATGTTTATCTCGTTTCTTCGAATTAGTATTCTGTTGAAATGAATTTTAATTCATCTTAGGTAATGCGATGATGAATGAATGGTAGATAAGGCTACATTACTAGCAACCAAAGTTTCTGTTTGTTTACGCTACTACTTTTATTCTATCATTAGTTTTGGAGTAAGATTTTAGATTCCCATTTTTTTGAGTGGAAATTCGAAATGCGATCTAAAATATTTGGGAAACGAAAACTTCATTTCCCATTCTTCCATCAACTAAACGAAATTAATGATATTGTAAGAAATTAAAATTATGATAGCAATATTTGATGAATGAATATTAAATTGCTGGTAGAAAATTATTGCTGCTCGAAATATTTTCATGATTATAATTTTTTTGAGAATTAAAATTTGAAGTTTTAAGGATTCAAATTTCCGAGAAAATAGTGTGTTTTGAGTATTGCATGATAAATTCGTATAACGCTTAACGTTTAAGTTATTTTCACTACAGAAAAGAAAGATAGTCAGGATAGGTCCTGGAAGCTGGGTGGATCCTCCGGAATGCAAATTATCATCAAGAAATTATTAAGTCGCCTCTTTTCGATCCAAATGCAGGTATAGTAATATTTTTTTAGTTGAGGTAATTACTATTTGCAGGTTATTACTGAGCGAATACAGTTAAGAGTTGTTTGTGTTTTTCAGATACTATTAGGAAATGTTCTACGATCGGTTTATTATTTAATTATTGTGTTTCGAAAGATTTAATATATTATCAAAGTGTTGTATTTCAGAAGATTTAATATTAATTATTTCTGAACCTGTATGCTAATTCAATAATCTAACTTTATCAATAGGTTCAAATACATAACACTTCGGGAGTATTACTATATAGTGATTTAAATGGAATGAGTGATTTCATCCTTCTGTTATTATCAGATTCTAAACTTTTATTCCGGTATATTTTTAACTTCAACTAACAAAAAATTTTTTAACTGATATGCATTTTTAATTACCATCTTAATGGTCAAAAAGATATGTGATAAAAAGTCACCCGAACCATGCTAATCGGTAAATTTTAACCGTATCGATCATCCCTGATTGGATGATATGTTGAATGGTTCTACGGTCTTTGTTTTAATTATAATTTTTTATTGTTTAATTTTGTGTTTACTGCCCACGGCACTGTTGTATGCTAATTAGTATATTGATATTTTAAAATGCATTTCAGTTTCTCATTGAATGCTGGAACGTTTGTTATGGAATGGGAACCATTGCTGGATATTAATCGTTCATACAGAATTAGAGTTACTTTCTTGTATGATCAAATTTCATTAGCTGTTGATGATTTGACTCCAGTAATTTTCAAACTGCCATCCGCAGTCATCAATTACCCTCTTAAACTTGACACACCGATATATCTGGGATACATACCGATGCAGCAGTCTCTTCGGTATGTCTCTTTCATACCATTAGGTTAACTTATTAAAAATCAAAATCATATCGGTTTTGTTATTGAAAAATTGCAACGAAATATTATGCTATAATAAAGATCACATGCTATGTAATTCACGAAATAAAATAACATTTCAAAATCAAAAAATAAATTCATTTTGCAAATATTCTTACATATGTCTTGGAATTTATAAAAGATTTTATTCAACAGAATTTATTATTCATCCATTTCTGTTCGGAAAATATCAAATAAATTTGCTTCATAATTTGTTTCATAATTTTTTGCTCATTTTCAACTTTCGATTGATTTTTCAGGTCCATTAAATTTCGATTTGAAAATTTTTACATAAGTTGAAAAATTGAATTTATTTTATAGATTGCATTCAATGCAAATAACATTAAATAACTTTACGGGTTGTCTGTCGGATATTCTTATTAATGGACGTAAAATATCTGAAGAAAATATGAAATTTCTGGGCAATATTGGTAAGATCTTAAGATTGTATTTGATTAGATTAGAAAATGGTTGTTAATGGACAAATGAGATTTTGCATAAAGTTGATTCATCGTAATCATTTTTCATTACTTTATTTCCACCTTTCATCATCACTATTGGATATTGGATTTTATTAAATTATTATTTAATTTAATTAAATCAGAGAGATGAGGGCATGCAACTTTGAATATGGTAGTTGAAAATGATACTTTGTAATCTTTCAAGAAATATAAATTGTGATATGAGAAGTGATGAATTTGTGATAATTTATAATGCTATGATGATTAACATCAGGATACTGATGCTTTTTCAGAATACTTGTTCATCTAAAATCCTTTGAATATGATAATTTAATAATATCTCTGTCACTGTACTTAACAATAGGATTATCTACAAGGAGACATTATTATGACTTAGAAAATCTTGGAAACACTAAATGGATATATTTGCGTAGAATTTATAATTTCCGGGACCTCCTGAAATAGTAATATTCTGATTAGAGGAATTCGAATATATTTGTTTTACAAAATTATGATTCCATAATAATAATAATAAAGAAATGAAAAGTTTTGGTATAGTGGTAGCAGTCAGGAAGAGTTAATTGTGAATTTTATCCATCATCGATTTTAAGAACAAATTTCTTTCCTTTAATTTAAAAACTTTCTTTCAGTTTATTGTTCACAAAATACATGCGTGAAGAATTGTTCGAATGATAGTTGGTGTCATTTAAATGAGATCGATACTAAACCGATATGTCATTGTATTCAACATTTTAATGGTTCTCTTCATTGATTGTTTTCTTGATTAATCTTGTAGTTTCTTTACTTATTTTTAATTAATAGGTCTTAAATTGCTACTATTAATTAAAAAAGTGAGAATGTATTTTTACGAAGGTAAAAGTGACTATGCAAAAATATATGCTCATTAAACTTCTACTTTACCTTACACCTGTTTCATAGAATAAAATGTTGTCTACTGCTCGTTTAACCGTTCGTTCTTACTCGTCATTGCTAGTAGTAGAATAAATTTTTGAGTTGGAGAACGTGAGGACGAGATATCATTAAAGTTAATGAGTTGAAAATGCTTAATCAAAATTGTATATTCTCTTTTTATTTTTGATTGTCTTCCATTATCACACTCGATTTCATCCTATTCTTATACTTGAAAAATTCAAGAATTAAAATCATAATTCTAACAATTACAGGTCAACTTTGTAAGCGGCAAATATGTGAAAATAGTGAAATCTGTGATGATAATTCATCGAGTATCAAAATAATCAATGACGAACAATTAAGTTTGTTTAATTATCAATTTATTCAAAACTGAAAATGAAATCATTGTGTAATTAAAAGGAAATTCAACACAAGTCCTACAAAACAATGTTGAAAATATTGTCGAAGATTGATGAAGCAGTAAAAGAGAATAAATTTTGTTGCAGATATGAAGTCGAATCATACAGTTCCATTGTTCGTCGGTGATGGTATTTTAATGAAAAAGAATTTAAAGATGAATGTGAAAGAAGAGCTAGAATTAGAAATATTGCTAAAAGCAATGGATTCAGATGGTCTGGTATTCTATTGGACCAATTTGGACACTATAACAGGACAATATATAGATGGCCATTTTATAGCATTAGTGTTAATCAATTCACAGCCATATTTCTTTTGGAATCTTGGCTCTGGAATCGTCTATAGCAGGTATTATTTTATTTATAGATTATCATAAAGCGATAAGTTCACCGCGTTAACTTAATGCTGTAGATTCTTCATTTTCAATCTGCTAGATCGGTTGAGTTGGATTTTGAATTTCGGTGAAGATTGTTACCAGAGGACTATCAGAATTTTTATTGCTTTTATCGAAATTGTCGAATTTCATATAATTGAGACAGCTAGAAGAAATCTCTAGCGGGTTCCATTCTTTCCATTCATTACTCCTTAATTTTTGTTGACAGATATCGGTGGATGAATGTCATTAAAACTTTATTATTCCAATCATTAACTTATTCTCGGAGGGATTCATTTCATCTTGAAATTAAGCTACCGTTTATCCTGAAATTGAGGGATTTCCTTTTATCCAATTAATATCATAATTGCTAACGAGATTACCTAACTTATCGAACTTTTATTATTACTGGAAGTATAATCTGAAATGGAACTGAAAAAGGCTTGGTAAAGAAGAAGGAAAAACAGAAAAGTATTCAGGGACTTTATTATATAAATAAGATCTCGATGAATTAATATTTTAATATACCATCATATTACATATACATATCGGACAATAGGATAAATATGCCAGATACTAAGACAGATGGCTGATTTCAATATTAGCGCATGTTTACCTAAGTTTTGTCTCATAAATTTACTTTTAAGTTGAATATTTCATAGTTATCTCTTTTAAGTTTTTTTCGATAGTTTCAATATTTCCTATTAATTCAGGTCCACTACATCAGTTTTGAACGATCGGTTTCATTTGATCCTTTTCCGAAAATACTTATTCCGTAATTCATTTCAAGTTGATAACGAGCAGACTGTAACCCAAATTTCTCAGGTTATTTGTTGGCGCTTTTATGCATCTGTTTTTTCTTTCTTTTTAAATGATGAATTTTGGATCGGAGAATTTGAATTATGAGAATATGTAAAATAATCTTTTCCTAAAAAATAAGAAATGAAAATTTGGTAAGCGTGGATGAGAATGGAATTTTCGCAGAATTTTTTGTTAAAATTATTGCTTCGAAAACAGTTCCTCTACCGGATTTGTATATGAAAATATGAACTGTTAAATGGTTGCAAATTTAATCCGGAAATTCGAGGTCTTTAAAGCCTAACATAACCTGTCAGATTCCTATATGATGTAAATTAGGTATTACTGCTGAAAATGTACATTATTCATTGATAGCTTGACTATTCAAATTTGGACGCAAGTGATACAGTGGCATTCATTGGTGGTGTTCCGAACAAAACCATTATACCAACTGCGATACGAGAATTTGCGATACCATTCCGAGGTGCTGTAGAACGATTGACTATTAACGGACGTACATTTTATGAACTTTTCGAGGTATGTTTGAATAAATAGCTGAAAATATTTGAAAAAAAAAGGTTGGTACCATTCTACAACATATGCTTATGCTTATTGAATGGAAGAATCTTTCAATGCATAAATCCCATCTATATATTACCCTCACTTCAATACATAAAAGCCTGAAATCGTTCAATAAAATTTTGGAATCTTACTTTTAACCATCATATCTCACTCAATTCATTTATCTGAAAATAAATTTCTTTCTCAACTTTTGCAATACTTTTAATGTTCTAATTCTCACTGGAAAATGATATTCCAAAAGATGTTGGGCGAAAATGGAATGACTGTGAGTGATGGTGTGATCACACTTATTCCACTTACAGATGAACAAAATTATTATGCCGATCGCGTAATGAATGAAATCGTATCGTTTATGATTTCGTGTGTTTAAAATAATTATTATTTAAGTAGCTACTATGTCCACTCTCCTTTTGTCTGTCCCCTTACGATATTAGCTATTTGTCCTTCCAACATATTTGACATTGATAATCTGACTTTTCTTTTTACCTTTTTACCTTCTTTATATCTTCTCTTTATACCTTCTCTATACCTTCCTCCCCTTTAATAATACTTACTAATTGTCCTTCAAACATATTTGACACTGATGATCTGACTTTATATGCATTGTTGTCGTCCATTAAAGCATTCCATATAAATGCTTGTCTGATTTGTTAATTACAAGTATGACGCATGATACTAAAGAATGGTTTAAATTTTTTTTTAAATTTTGCAATGGTCTATGATACTTTCGCTTTTTCTCTATTACAAATATAATTGTGTTCATAGTTGGTGAAAATTCATTTCATGAGATATTTTTAGGAATTTCAACAAATTGGTCGTGTTCTGCAATACAGCGCTGAGTCATGTTTCAATGATAAAAGCTGTATATGGAAATCGGATGAATATCAAATTTCAAAATATATCCATCAAGGTTTTTGTTTGTTTTCCTTCTGATGATAACTTTATTAATTATGACATAAGGCGGATAGTAACGGATACTGTAAGAGAAGCACAATATGGTTATTTACTTTTGTGATTAAACAGAATTAATAACTTTCTTAAATTACCCACTAATTCTTCTTCGCTTTTATGGAAAACCATCTTCAGCTTTTAGTTTCTCATTGAGCCCTGTAAGATGGGAACTAGTCTTCATATTTCCCAACTATTTTTAGAAATTTCGACATAGCGTTTTGAAATTCGTATTCATTTGTTAAATTGGAATGTGTATCTTCTTTTCTCTTTCCATACAAATTTAACTATTTACTGTATAACTTTCTACTTTTATTTGAGTTCAATAACTTTGTTATTGCTGACTTCGGCATCTGAATGAACCGTATTATTAATTTGAGTTTAAATTCTTTATGAAGAATTTATCCTTCATTATTCTTATTACCGCTTGGATATTTAAGTACAAATAGTTTGAAATAGAATAAATTAATGTGAATATTTTTACTTCACTTAAAGTTCCAAAATTCGAGTAGTAAAATAAGAATCGGATTAAAGTAACTTAATATTCAATTTTATTCCCTATCGGTGATCATAGTTAGATTGTTCCATTCAGTTAATTTGATTCCGTGTTCAATTAGTTATTCTATTCAGTTATTTTGGCTTTGAACAAATCAAATTTGTCATTCGGTTATTCATTTTTTGACTATTACTCAGATTTCAACTAACCCATATGTCTCATTTTCGAAGGTCAACCCTTTAAACTCAGACCTTTAAACTCATCTTTAAACTCTGTCGGTGATCAGGGATGCAAAAAGAGAAGAGAACGGTTATAAAAGTTATTGATAATCCGAGGTTTCCAGTTTTTAAAAAAAAGCAACAACTGAAGTAAAATATTTCTTACATCTATTGCTTATTAAATTCTAAACATCGCTATTCATTAAACCTCAAAATAACTTACTTACAATGAATGATTACTTATAAACAAATTTGCTGGGTCAACTTTTCTTATATCCAACTTCCTATGTTTTAGTTTCGTTTTCTTATTTTCAAATGAAATTTATTGTTGTTTTCAGATGGTGAAGAAGGAACAGAAATGGACGATAGCATTTTGCTTGATGGACGAAACAAATATGTATTAGTGAAAAAAGTGGCTTCAAAGTAATTATTATTTATTTGTTTATAAAATTGTGCTTTATAGTTTACTATCTTTAAGAATGTTGCACAGGGATAAAGATGGCGCTAACTTTATAAATTTATTACAATTCCTCTTTCCATTTGCAAAACGGATTTCGAAATTAGATTCCGTGATCGATCATCAGGCATACATTCTAGCTTAATTATAAATTTTGTTTTCTTCACATATTAATAATGGACTGTATGCAACATATCGGCAGAACAGCAAAATTTTGTAAATGTTAAAAACTGATTAACAAGTTTATTTTCCAATAAACATTTTCCAATGTCCCATAATTTCTTCGAAGAACAAAAAGATCCGCAATACTTCGTGTTTTGGGAAGTATTCCGTTTCGATACCTTTCCTTTCGCAATTTTTAAAGTTTCATACTTATAATTAAATACTTATACTAAAGTTTTTCCTTTCTTCTTTTCAGAAAGCAGTCGAACATAATGACAGACTATCAATTTATGATCAAAACTAATACAACAAAAGGTTTAATTTGGTGGGAAAGTAAGAGACATACGATTCGTTCAGACTATTTGGCAATATTTCTCATTGGTGGACGACTTGGTTTTGCTATAAATTCAGGCAGTAATTCAAAAGTTAAAATAATTGGATCAAATACAATTGTTAATGATAATCAATGGCATAGTATTACGCTTTTAAGGTTTTTTTTTTTTTAAACTTTTCATTTATAATTTTTAACTTCCAATCTGGAATTTCACTTCGTTTTAGTTTGACATTAGCGATCTATCCATACATAAAATAAAATCAAAGTAAATGGGTGCTAATTTAAGCAGAGAAGCAAATACGTTTATTAACTATAACATTTATCTTTAAAATTCATGATAGTGATATCATATTATCATAAGTTGTTATTATGATGAAGAGGATTTTAAGGTTTTAATTAAAGTAAAGTTTAAAAATTGGAAGTCAAGAGAACTTAATTGAAAATATTATTGCACCCATTTATGTAACTAAAAATGTCAAAGTTCAATTTTTTAATCAGACACAATAATTTAATTTAATTTTAGTTAAATTAGGTATAATAATTTAAGGGAAAAACGAAAATGTTTATTAATTGTGGATAATGAAAAAGTCTTTTATACTTTACCATTTGGTACCACGGAACTAATTACTGATGGAATTATTTGGATTGGCAAGTTTCTTTCATTTGCAGAAAACTGACAGCGTTGTTTGTAATATTTTTCAAGTTGAAGTTTGAATTTATTTTTGAAACTTTTTAGAATTCTATGCAAAATTTAAGCTCTCTAGAAATATTTGGATGACTAATGATAATGATGATAAGCTGAAATTAAAAATTTCTTCTCATCTTTTTGCCTACTGTTAGGTAATTCATATCAATATGAAATAGCTTTTGCGAAATTTTCGATTAATTTTTAATTTCAGGTGGAAAAAAGAAAGTACCACGGAGTTTCCCAGTAAAAACACCTTACAAAGGATGTTTACGAAACTTACGAATTTCATCACAATTAATTAACATACGACGGGAATCGTCATCAAACAAAACATTTGAAAAATGCAAAAATTAGATATTTGATAGAGAAAATGATTCGACATTTTAAATTTAATGAATTTTGAAATTAATATGTTCTTCGACGTTTGAAGTTTTATCGCTATTTGATCAATTAACATATTTCTTGTCACCCGCTCTCTCTCTCTCTCTTATAATTGGAAATCTTTCAATATTTCTGATAAATTTCCAAATACCTTTTTGGATATTTGTTTTACAGAATTTCTAACTGCGAGAATGTATGAATGTTCGAAAATTATTTTAATTCTCTTCTATGATCACCAATTATGCAAACAATTCTTTGCTTTATCGAAATTAGCTTCAATTTGTTAGCTGATTAGGACAGCTGTAAATAATGGATGAAAATTGGACGTCAAACTTAAAAATTAAAATGAACAGGTAAGCCTACTGAAAACTTACAATATAATTTGTCGAAAATTTTTGTAGTTCTCTTTGGCATTTGAAATCATTCCATCAGTTATTAGTTTATCACTTAATCATTCATTTTAGTCATCGTCTGATTATTTTACTAATGGATTATCATGAGTTTAGTAATCTCTTCTGATCAAAAAAATCGAAGTCATTGCTTGATAAGTAGTACTTGAATATGAAATAGCAATCAATATCTAAATATTTGATCTTCTGAATCTTTCAGAATTTACTGAATTCCGACATTTTCCGCTTTGGATTGTTTATTGTTTCACTACATCATCATCTTTTTTTTTACAAGATCATTAAGTCTGTTTGTTGCAGTTTGTAATTTTTGGCATATAAGAATCAATGATGGTGCTGTTGCTGTATTTATCATTCATCAGTGGTAGTGAATTGCCTCTTAAAGCTTTGTTAAATTAATTAATGAAATTAACCAAATTGATTGTTTACAAGCAAATTATGAAACGATGAAGCTATAGAATGGATATATGAAGAAAAATGATTCGTTGTGATATCGTGGCACTGATTGTTAACATAAGATATTTGATACGAACTCTGCTAGTGAATAAAATTACCACTGACTGGATCATCTTTCGTCGTACATTTGAGATCTATGATTGGCCTATATGAATTTACTATTGTAGGCTGCTGTCCAAGAATATACGAAACATTTTAGAATTCAGTTTCTTCATATCATTTTTTGGTACTGTAATAGCCCTTTCAAAAATAGCTTATGCGCAAAATGCAAATTTCAAATTTAGGAATTTATTAAAGAAACATCCCTTATACAAATTAAAAGCCAGCTGTCAGATCGATCACACAGACATTCATTGTTAATGCTGCAACTAAAATTCTTTTGTTAATACTGCAACCAAAATTCTTAATGATCATTTGCTACAGTAAAATTATAAATCATTAATAGTTTTTTTTAGAAATTTCCCACTTCAAAACAGAATCGATTAATTCAAAAATATGAACAATATGTTATTGCAAAATGTAAAAGTAGCAGAAATAATATTTTGAAATAAATTTTTGTGGTACAATATTTTGTTAGTAAAGTAAATATCTATTGTAAGTTAAAAACTAAATGATGTGATATGTTGTAAAATAAACTGAAAAATCCGGTTTCAAAATTCCAGCAGAACTTACCTTTATTCTTTGGCCATTCCTCAGCTAACTCTCTTTTCTTCTCATAGCTATAAAATAAATACTTTCTTATTGTCACAAAATCCACTTGCTTGCTTATTCACTAATTTACAAAGCTGTCATTATTTCCAAATGGTTAGTTGATTTCAATTAATTAAAAAAATTAATTATGTAAACAATTTTGCTTTTTTTAGCAGTTTATTAAATGATAAAAAGATAGAGGAGGAAATAAATAAAATTTTAGTAATTCACTATGAGATAATTTTATGTTAGATACATTTAACATAGCTCAATAAGATAATGCCAAATATCAATCTTAACAATGCTAAGTAATATCATTCTGCCTTATCTTATCTCCAAAATGACTAAAATTTTGAAATTGCAGAACGATACGAGTGATAGTACAGATGCTCTTAGTCAACTTTCGACAGAGCAGATTGAACGTATGTAAATTATCATAATTTTTTACTCAAAATTAATAATTAACATTATGCAAAGTAAATCAGTCAAATGAATATCATAAAAATCTGTTTAATAATTACCATTCTCCTACATAACCATCTTAACAATTTCAACTTTTACTCTTTTATTTTATTGAACTTTATCAATTTCAAGGGCTGGAGAAAATTATTACTCAATTTCTGTGCATCTGCAAAATATTCAACTAACTAAATTTCATTTAGAATTCCGGAAATATTTCAATATGTTTGATAAAGAAAACGAAGGTTTTATCAGAGCAACACAAATTGGCCAAATTTTAAGAACTATGGGCCAAGCATTCGAAGAACGAGATTTGAAACAACTTATCAAAGAGTTCGATACCGACGGTACATCTATTATCATTTATAGTTAAAATAAAAGAACTTTACACATTGCAAAATTTACTTCTGCAAATTCATCATTTTTTAGCATTCGCATTTCTTAATTACACACTTTGAGCTATTTGAGGATCTTATAATCTATGTTCGTAGAATAATATCCTCATTTCTATCTTCCAATTTAACTTTGCTTGATATGAGAATTACTAAAATCGAACTAGCAATAAACAAATTGATAGGTGAATTAACGAAATAATAGATGTATGATTACGACTACATCTGAGTTATGCAATTGCGCCTTGATTTGAATTGCATTGTAAATAATATAAATAATTGAAATAATTTTATAATTGAAATAATTTTAATTTTAATTTAATTTTTAATTTTATAATTGATTTGAATTGCATTGTAAATAATATAAATAATTGAAATAATTTATAATGTAAATAATCGAAATAATTTCCAATAAGTTTCGGACACATTTATCCAATTATTAATATCAGTTAATAAAAATCGAAATAATTTGTAAATAATTTTACACATTTTTTACAGGATCGGGTGAGATTGAATTCGAAGAATTTGCAGCAATGATTGCTAATTTTGTTGTTGAAGATGGAAATGCCTACGTTGAAGAAGAATTGCGAGAAGCATTTCGTTTGTACGATAAGGAAGTAATCATGTTGAAAAAGCAATCGTTAATTCATAAAATCATACTGCTTAATAAGAACTTTCCGATTTCAAGTTGCATTAAGGATATGAAATAGAAAATTATTGAATGAGTCATATTCATTCCGAAGTTAGAATGTTTATTAATTCACATGAAATATTTTTCTCTTTCATTTTACCATTCTACTGTTATTTTTGCCAGGGAGAACAGATAACCATTATCAAATCATAATGTTCTCTGGCTCAATTACAGCAGAAAATATTTTTGAGTGATTATAATTTGACATATTACTTTCTAATTACAAAACAGATCAACAGTTCAATTAAATGATATCTTCATTACTGATAAATACAATATAACCCATTGTTTTGCTACGACAAGTATTATTCTGCATGACAAAGCAAGCATTAACAATAGTTTAAAAATATTCTTTAATTTAATTTTATTTTATAATTTTTCAATTTCTAATCTTAAGGGTAATGGTTACATAGCAGTATCAGATTTGCGTGATATTTTACGAGCATTGGATGAAAATATCTCTGAGGAAGAATTGGATGAAATGATTGCTGATATTGATACAGATGGTTCTGGTACTGTTGATTTTGATGGTGAGTTAGAATTACATTGTCTGATAATTTTGAAAGCATTTAACAAAGTTGACGATTTTTCGCTGAATTTGATATTGTTTTAAAAGGGATATGAGATAGTACGGAAATAGGCAATGATCTGTCAGCTTTGTTGCAAATCACAATTTAGATTCATTTTTCATTCTTATCAGATCTCATCTCTTCTCTAATATCTATGAATAGTTTACTTTCAGAATTTATGGAAATGATGTCCGGTGAGTGACCGTTACTCAAAACTATCAGCAACATAATGCAACACAAGATAAAACTTTTGAAATATGTTACTAGCGAGATTTTTAATTATGCAATAAATTGTGAAGCGTAATCTAACTTTGTTTCTTTTCTGTTCTTACACAATTTATGGAATATCAAGAAGAGTTATGAAATCCAATCTTTCATTCAATTTCTCATTCACTGAATTCTCCATATCAAAGTCGTAAATTGATGCCTGACAGGCCTGCATAACAGAAGAAAGATTTGATGTTTACACTTTTTCGGTTCTAAGGTTTGGCGAAGAGAATGATGCATTCTAAGGCAAGCAGAAAATTCTAAGGCTAGCAGAAAATGATGCAATTTAAAATCACACCGTAATAAGTGACTTGCATGAGAGCACTTGTAGCCATAACATACATATTGATTTTAAAATTTATTTAATGAAACTTACGGATTTCGGATAAGAAGGGAAGAAGGATCATAATCTCTAGTTATGAAATTCAGCAGATTCTATCCTGATCTGAAAAATGCTGACTAATTTCAGCGTGAGATAGAAATTTTCGTTAATGGTCCGTATTGAGATTGTAGGTACACAGGATCTGAGCTGGTTCTTGGTTTAGTCTGTGATTCTTATTGGCGTTTATGGTTTTATGTTAGTGCTAATTGTTTCGGTCCTGTATTTTAGTTATGACGTAAACAGCAGAATTAAGAAGGCTGCTGCATGTTCATTAATTGGTTAGCAATATAAAGAGATGCTAAGGACCGCTACCAAACTGAAATACTCAGCTGGCAGACCGTCTATTGGTTTGGCATTATTTGGATGTAAAAATCGTCCTGCATATCGGATCGTTGTATTTCCTAACAAAGCATACGGGCGGCACCACGAAGGAAGTATCATCGAAGAGGTAATTAGCTTTTTTCTTTCATGATTCTTCAATTTTTAATCCTGAGAACAGCGGTTATGTAACACTGCTAGATTCACTCTCATTCATACTGTAAATGAGGTCTTCATACCGGCGGTAATGCTGTAGTGGTAACATCCGCACAGAGCATTTTCAACTCATCATTCAATAATCCACTAGCATTCACATTTGTGAAGTTAGTGATACTCAGAAAGTGATGTTTTTAACATTGCCGCAGTGATCTCTTTCTTCAAGGTTTTTAATGAAGTTGACGTGAATACATCTAACTTATTGTGATCTAATTGAATGCAAAAAGGAATTTAGTTACTATCAAAAAGTCAATTTAAGCTTGGCGTTTTCGATCCGCTGCCTAATTTTCGAAACGAAAAATTAGTTGCATGTGATGTTACTCGTGTAAAATATTGGATTGGAGAGCGTAACGCACATATATCGCCTTCTCTTTTGGAACTTTTAGGTATTGTCTCTCTTTTTAAATAGTAAATATATTCATTTTCCACTTTAGTCACTATGTGCCACAATCAACTCATGCCTTTTTTGGAAATCACTTTCATATTTCGATCTTTGATTTCCATACTCTGAAGATTTCAGGACTTTGGGGAGTACTACCAATACATCCGAAGACTTTTATTCGTGCGCGATATCATCTTGAAGAACTGGAAAGAACTAAATTAAAAACTCATTCTGCGGCACCTCAATCAGATCTACCAGAAGTGGAATCGAAAGAAGGAACTGAAAAAGAAGAACCTCATCTTTGAAGTTGATAGAGAATTCGTTGAACTTGAAAAAGAACAAATTTCAAAACAAAGGGACGAAATAGATTTATTTTTAAAAGCGCAGGATAAAGCGATCAAATGTCAAATGAACTCTCAAATGTCAAAATCTGGAAACGATATGTTACACATTAACAGTGCAAAAAAGCGAACTTCCTTCCGTATTAAGTATTTCTTGACAGCACCGTTTTACATATACAGCATGTTTTTTGTCGACTATACCTCTGCAGAATGTCGAGAAGAGATTAAGGTATTGCCTCGCAATTCATATGAGTCCAAAATCATCCGGAATCTTTATATATTCGAGAATGATACACAAAAATGTGATGAAGCACAATCTATGTTAATGCTATCCCGGGCTCCTTTTTGTGATTCTCATGATTTGAATGTAACTTTTTCATCCGTTGCTGTGTTACCGAATGGAACCAACATGTAAGTTCAAATTTTTGTTAAGGTGATAATTCCGCACAAGTATGCTTTTGTGAGAACTCGAACTCTTACTAATTATGCTATAATGTTGCTTATATAGGATAGGCTTCTGACTGCTTTCTGGTGACTTTGTTAATTTGATTAATCCATAAGTTATCTACAGAAAGTAAAACTGTCAAATTACTGTCGTTTATAGTCGATTTTGGAACTTTTTGAAATTTTTGTTCGGAATCTGCAAATTAGAAACTCTGTTATTCCTTTGTTCCTCCTTGCTCAAAACTTTATAGGTTGCCTTACGTTTTACTTAATGTTTCTATCCGAGTTAATAGCCCAATCTCATCTGTTTTTCTTCGACTGGAATGTTTAGAAGCTCCAAATTTGGAAGACGATTATTGTCATAATCACGAGGTTTGTTTATGTTCCAAATAACTTTTGCTGGACAGTATTTCTCATTCCTCATAACTCTCGCCATATTTTTGTACCTTAATACATATGTAATCAATGGTGTACAATCTGTTTTCAATCTCTGTTTTTCAAAATAGAGTCAAAATTTTATTAATGGCAGTCATGAAGTTTTCTTCAACATAGCACTTCCCACTACCTCCTTAGTTCAAATTGTAAATCTTTTCTGGAAAATTTTTTTAGGATTTTTCGACGTTAAAATTCCTGTCACAACTAATTTTTCAGGAGCAGTATCGAAGGTGGGGGCGTATGATATGGCCTTGTCGCTTTTTGACCCTTTCTAAACCGGATCTTGTTAGCTATCCATATTTTCTTAATTATCATTGTTTTCGGCTTTCTTCTTATTCTCACTATCGTTTGAATGTGTCGTGTGCTCCAAATTTGTGCAGGTTCGTTATGCTGCTTTAATGAATAAATAAAAGTCGTTGATTTAGTAAATTAGTTACTGCGCGCTACCCAGTTGGTTTGTTGAAGTTTTAGTTATTAAAAAATTAAAGGTGCGAAATAAATTTTACGTTTGTTATGATTTTAAAAAATGCTGAAATTTATTTTATTCGAATCACTGCATTTATAGGAAATCGTTTATTGTCACGATACCCGAAGAGACTCAAGTGAGTCCCACCATAAGTCGCTTCTATGATAAAGATGGTGCAATTGGTGATAACTATTGGTCACCACTTGCATTCGTAGATTTAACTTTGCGAGACGTAAGTTTGTATTCCATAAACAGATGATTGTAAGAAATTTTTGCAGAACTTCTGCAATCTGTTTGAGTCGCTTGATTAAATTTTCCAGAGGTGTATTACTGCCTTTTGAGTCACGATTAATTGGTGCACTTATTTCATTTTTCATAAAGGAAGGTTCGCATTTAAAGTAACTGAAGTGATTGTAAGCAACATGCGCTCTTAGGGGCTTAACAAAATTAGTGCCGAGCTGTCTGTTGTATGGGCCGGTATATTGATCCTTTAGTTGTTTGTTACAGATGCTGTCTTTGTTATTCAATTCCTTCTATTTAACTTGACAACTATATTTTATCCTATAAAGATGTTTTTGAGAAGGTGATAATTCGTTATGAGAGGCAACCATCTTTGATAGCTACTCGAATCTCTGTTGCTGTTTTTGAAACGATCGCTTCATCTTCTACCCATCTCTTTACAAATACATTAGATATTACCGCCGCTGAATATGAGTGGAAGAATGTCCGAGCCGGGAATTTTACTGCGTATTTATACGTTAGCCGATTAGACTGTAATCTAATATGTAGCAACAGCACTGTGGATAGGTGTATTTTATGTCCAAGTACAAGAATTCATTTCACGGTTGAGGAGGATAAAATATCGCTTGCGGCATCAATTCATGGCTTATTATTTCATAGAATTTACGTCATCGGTTAGTTTTTGCTTTTTGAAGTTGTAATATTTTCAAATTTGTCAGTGGTATCAGGACTACTAGTGGGAATAATACTTTTCAATGTTAATCACATATTACATTTCAATATGTCATTCTATATCTTCTAGATTATTGGAAAATTTCTCCTATTTAAATCAGAGGTAATCTCATGTAACGGTAGTTTTTCTTTCTTTTTCCAAAACGTAACCAATTTCTCGATGATTGTTTTGATTCATTCTGCGTATTAAACCTTTATTTTGTTACAACAATCGTTTTAACCAACGGATAAATCAAAATAATTGAACCTTTCAAATTATGTACTTCATTCAGGAAACTTATATTAAATCACATCTAATATGGTTATGATAACACAGACGTGGAAATGCATTGCACGGAATGTCTGCGTAGTTCTTTCGATATTATATCATTTTCATTTTTTTATGTATATCAGTCGTTTTTTTCATTGTTCAAGAATTGATCGTCTTTTGGTAAAATATTTAATTACATTTCAGGTGCTGCGGTATTGTGTTTTGCTTTTGCTATAGCTGTTTTGTTTTTTTTGACGACCAGGCGCTTACACAGAGTACCGTTGCAAGAAGTGTCACTTTCACAGCGAACAACCGTTTTTATCGTTTACACAGACGATTGCAAACCTCATTCCGATTGCATCGCTGCACTTGCAAAAATACTGCAACACGATGCGAATGTGGATGTATTCTTAGATCAATTTGAATTAAAATATTCGGGTATGTGCATTTAAATTTATAGAAATATCACGTTATGTTTAGAAAACAGGTCGACGATGAACAATCCTTTATCTAGCTTTTTTTAAGATTGGTTGTTGAATCTGAATAATTAATGAATTTTCATTAAGCAATATTTGAATGCGTGAACAACCCCCTTCATAACTATGAAAACTTTCTCAGTCGCTAATTTTTCTCTTTGTTATGCGGCATTCTAATTTTTTTCAGTCGACACAACAAGGTTGTTCTCTCTGAGTAAAATTCACTCATGCTTAATTCAATTTTTTTTTTATTTCCATCATTTCAATATCTGAAGTTGACCATATTTCAGAAACACTTCCGTTAAGGTGGTTCATTAGCAAGTTTGCAGCAGCTAGTCATGTAATGCTTATTTTTTCTGAAGGAGCAGGTGCCATCCTTCGCGGGGAAAGTCTTATTCAGCAGCAACCGTTTCCTGAATTCTTTTCCGTCGCACTTAATATGTTGATAACGGTTGGTCCAAAATCACATCATTATTTCTGGACTCTAATGCATAATACTTACAACGAAATCGTGAACGATGATGGGCTTGATATTAAAGTAAAGTGAAAGTTGAAGAAACTAAGTAAATTCCATTATGCTCTTACTTCTTATTGTGAAGCTTTTAGGAATCTTGTACTTTCTCGAAAAATTTTAGGAACACAGTAAAGATGTAACTAGACAACCTGGAAAGCTACTGACAGAAATGAGCCTGCGCTTTGCATTTGCCTATATGACCTATTCTCCATCTTCAGTGATCCCTGAAGAGCTTACTTCTTTACCAATCAATATATTCAAGTTGCCTGAGCAGGTATGCTCATTTTTATTGATATATTTCTGTAATGTAATCTCTTTTTAATTCTTTTATTGACTTATCCAGTTCCAAATAAATTTAGATTCAGAATCTCATTTCGTGGTTGCACAATCAACCATCTGATATCTATGTAGATGTGTGTATTGATATGTCGCATTTGAAAAGTGCCGTGGATGAAGTTGTGGAATATCGACGCAAGAATCCAGTTTGGTTGGCAGAAAGATTGCAAACGAGTCGCAAGGTAATTTGACATCATGTTCTTACAGTATTTAATAGTTCAAAAGAAGTCGTTACTTTACTTCGATATTTTTGTGATTTTTAAATTTTACTTATGAATTATTGTTATTGGTCAAAATCTGAGCCCCCGTTTTGCTGCTTCATATCCTCTTTTCTGCTTATTTCACCATCTCTCAAATGATATTTTGTGACAGGATATTTTTTTCAGAATTCCGGACCTTTTTGTACACTACAGAATGTTCCTTTCCAATCAAGTCGTTCGGTATTAACACACGAAGAACAAGTTCATATTGCGGAAACATTGAATTTGGAACCACCCGACATCCATACTTCGACGGTCAGCTCTTTCCCTTTCGATTTTTGGTCTTGACTGTTTTTGATAAAATTCATATGGAATACAAACTTCTTTATTACAGGAAGAAATTTTTTCTGAAGAAAATGTTATTTTCGCTTTGATAGGATCACCTGATGACAGCAGCTCCGATACCGATGATTCCATTTCCGACAAGATTCATCTACAACAATTCTTGGCAGCTAAACAAAATTAGAATCAGTTTTGTGAAGACCATAATTTATATAACGCATGTCGGATGGCTTTTAATTTTTATTTGAATGAATTATGCAGTTCTGTTCCTTTTTCTATATTGTTTTTTATTTTTACTTGTTAATTTATGTGCTTGATAATTCTTGTTATTTGAACTATGATTTTTTTCGCTTTGTTATTCTATTGTTTGAGTTCATTGTTCACTTAATAGTCTCTAATAAATGTATATTTAAATCAATTCGTATTAAATCTACATCTTTCGGTGTCAGTTCCGAGAAAACTTATTCTTTCTTCAAAAATATTAAGCTGCTCAGTGAGGTATTTGTATTGACCAAATTACAAATTTATTTCCAGATGAGTTATGTGGCAAAATGTCGAAAAGCGACAGCAAAGCGGGTGGAGAGGAAATATGCTTGCCCAAGCTGCGACGCAAGATTTCCTTTTCCAAATAAATTACGCCTTCACATCAATTCAAATCACTCTTGTAAGTATGTTGCGAGGTTTCGAATTTGGAAAGTTTACTTTCAAGCAGTGTAAAGTTTAGTAGGGTATATTGTTGATTTAGTGCTGTGTGCTTATTTTCTTTTTCCTACATTCAAATAGTAATTTCAAACAATATAATACTTTTTAGTAGCAAATGTTTGCGAACTATGTCCAGAACGTTTTAATCGTTTCAACGAATTACGCACGCATATGCGTCGTGCTCATCAAATCGTGCATCAATGCCACTTATGTGCATATTCATCCAGTGTCAAAGCGGAACTGAGAAAGCACGTTGTCAAATGTCATGAAAATGGCGTTCGCTGCACAGTTGATGGATGTGATGCAACAGTAGCTTATAATAGGTTTGTCGAAGTTATATTTGAGTGTAAATTTCCTGGCTCCTTAATCATTCCTATAAATCATTTTTATCCTGAATTAAAATATATTCAAGAAATTTGATTTCTAATTTTCCGATATTTATTTTTTTTAGGAATTCAGACGCTTTTAAGCCCCTTTGTTGATCGAGTTGTAATGTTAGACATTGAATTACTGCACAAATTCTTGCAATTCATTGAATGTTTCATAAGACTCACTGTATACGATTCGAATTACTTCATAAATTATTTTTTTGCAGATTGAGACGGCACATCAAAGAAGCTCATTGTGGTAGCCTTCAAGGTGGTTTGATTGTGGATAATCGGATGCCGAGAGAATCGTCAGAGCCTGAAAACAATCTTTCTGAAGATCTCATAGAAGTAGAGTTTTCTTCAACAGCAGAAGGATCAACTACTACGAATGCTTTCTCTCGTATGGAATTCGTCAATAACTTTCAGCGTATGTTATAATTAAAATACTAAAATAGTCTTTAGAAATAGTCAGCTGCTGAATTATTAAATTGTCAGTTTTAACGAAATAGTTTTTTAGTAACTCGTCTTTTAATGCTCAATAGAATAAAATACAAAAGGCATGCTATGACGTTTAATTTGTGCTTTGTTTTGTTATATCCCAGTGCAGTAGTATTGCTTCTCTGTGTTTCTTTGGATGAGGGTGGCAATTTTATGTTTTTTTTTTTGTAAACATCCGTATCTTTTGCCTAAATTGGAAAAAAGTGAAGATTTTGTAATTTCTTTCTACCCTTAATTTTTAACAAAATCGAATATGTTAACGTAGTCCTGCTCCTCTGAAATCTTTTTTATATATTTGCAGTAATGATTTCAATTGCATTTTTTTTGGCATATATATCAGTAGCTTGCGGCATCATTTTAAATTAATGTATTGTATAGTGGTTTTTTAGTATTACATTGTTTCATGCCTTTAGTTTTCCAATGTGTTGGTTTATTGAAGCGATGGAGAAGATGCAGAAACTTGCTAGCAATCATGTTTCACCAGAAGTATTACCACGGGATGCAGAGGCGTCTACTCATCGTCTGTCCTTGGCAGTACAGCATGATGGAACGACAGCTGAAAATGAATTTAGTGATTGCTGTGGTGGGGTTCAATTTGGAAAGGCAATTGAAATGAAGGGAATTAATTCCGAAAATATCTATCAGGAAAAATCTCAGGAAGTGTCGAGCGAACCAAATGGTTTGAAAAGAGAGGACAAAACAATGTCTAGAAAAATATCACTCGGCTATACCGAAACAGGTTTTTTTTCTCTATAAGAAATATTACTGTACTTAATACTACTTTGCGGAGATGTTTGATATTTAGGTTCTCACTAAGCAGAGAATTTATAAATTTTAGTGTAAATTTTTTTAAACACCAATGTATTAAGATTGAGCAGTTTCAAGTGAAAATCTTCATTTCCAAGAAATGGAAGGGAATGCTAGAATCCTTGTCCGTTTTTGACTGGTAGATAATTTTTCAAGTTATAAATGATTTCAGATGTATAATGGTTTTAGAGTTGTGGATTTTTTCTTTTGAAGGTGGATATGAATGCCAAAAATGTGGGAAGATTTTTCATAATGTTTATAATTCCCGGCGACATTGGAATCGCGTGCATCTTAAAAAACATGTGGAAGCAGTCAGGCTAAAAAAATATGAGTGCAAAATTTCGGAATGTACACAACGCTTCTCATGCCCTTCGAAACTTCAAGATCATATGTTGACTATACATAGCGGTAAACTTTTGCCTTTTACCATAGTAATTTATTGGCTGAAGAGGGTTTAAATTTTGGCTTATGAAGGGCATATTATTAAAAGCAACTAATATATATTATACATATATATGTAGCTTAAGCTTCAGATTTCTAGATCACTGACAAATTTTCCTTTCATCTCCATCGAAAATTATTAGTTCGGGAATTTCATAATATTGGAATCCTTGTAATCCTATTAAAACAATGTACTACGTATTTCGTTTAACCGCCGTAGCAGGTTGAGATAATAAACTTTTAGATTCTTCCAAATAAAAAAGGATGGTGAATTTATATGCGGATTCATGATTTACGTAAGTCTTAAATTTTGACAAAATATTTTGTTACAGAAGATGCTCCATTCGACTGTGAAACATGCAACAGGAAATTCAGCAGCCGTGCATCATTTGCTATTCATTTGAGGCGCTACCACTTAGTGAGTATTCGAAATGTACCATATGGATTTACGGATGGAATTGGTGTTAGTTCCGTTAATGTTTCGAATGAAATTCATATTAGTGCTAAAGATAACGCGTCTGACGCTGATATTGTTGTTACTAATAATATATTCGCAAAGGAATAATTGGGAAGTTAATGGATGTTTTCTACGATGGGGAGATCTTTATCTGCGATCTTTCAAGTTAACTATATGGTGTAAAAGGAGTGCAAATCTTTTTGACTCATTAGTTATCTGACACTTAGCAATGACTTTAGAATTTTCCGCAGAAATCCATTACTATTTGAAGGAGACCTTATGCAGTGGTCTAGCTCTTATTGTCGCACAAATAAATGAGCTTTTGTTGCTGTATTTTAATGTTCATATAGGATTTTAAAAATATATAGAGAAATATAGACTTAAATATAGACTTGAGATTTCATTTTTTGAAAGATGTTTTATCGATAAAATTTTAAGATTTCAGTTCTAGCAATTTCCTTAGTCTATTCCAGCCTCAAGTTCTTTCGCTCGTTTCACTTAAATTTAGTGCCTTCAGTGGTGATGGTGATTGTTTTTCGTTATGGTATTATGTTACATTGTCTCATATGCTATTATTATCAAGGGGACCCAAATAAATGTTATTCTTCACGATGTTGGATTTACTCAGTAACTCCATAACTATTTGGTCGTGTTAGCAAAACTCTTATTTTTGATCAACAGTGTAATGTTCCCAATCGTTAGCTTGCGTGATCTATCCTTTGCACTTCAGTCGTTTATGTTATTTTGTATTCGAAGTTTATTTACAGCTGAACTGAAATTGCGAATTTGCAGTTTTTGACGTGTAATAAATCTATAGTTTGGACTAGTCCTGTATTTATTCATATAATTCTAAATCCATTTACTATATCAGTGATTTACGGTGGACTGTTTGAGAGGACCATTGCTTTGATCAGCAGCTGGAATCGTCTTCCCATTCAGCACAGTAGAAGGTGAACTACAATCGGTCTTTAGCAAAAACGGAAATGGTACAGAGACTGAAATTACTGGACAAAGGGTTGCATGTAATTGATGCTATTTATCTTTTGAAGAAATTGGAGTGTTCTTTACAGGGGATTTCAAATGATTAAAAAAAACGAATATACTTTAATAGGTGGTAAGCGTTATTTCCGATCTGTTAATTTAAACTGGATTATTAAAACTTTCATATAATCACAATCGATCATTTTCCACTCCAGTGGTTATAAAAGCATAAATTTGCAAGTCAAATGGTCAAAAGGACCAGATTTCTTAAAAAAATTCTTTTTGAAATATGACGAATGCACATTTTAGGTTGAAATAGGAGGAAGGACATTCTAACACTCTAACTTTTGCTCGACAAATTATGGCATTACTATTAAGTGCTAATGGATTATGCATAACAAAAATTAAACATGTTCGAAATAGCATCCATCAAGAACTTAAAAAATCGAATAGAAAGGGTCAAGTCACTTGATATCTTCAAAATTTCCAGCTTGACATTTCTCGTCTAATACCATATTCATTTCATCGGGGTCCTAGACACCCTGCAAAAGCTATGGAACTAAAAGAGGAGAAGATAAAATTTTTTAAGTAGGACAGTAAAAGCGAATACCTGAAGGAAATAAGTAAATCACAATATTAAGTACACCCTTTACCATATCATGTGTATAGAAAAAGGTTAAAATAAACTGTCATGCATGAAAGCAGGCTTCTTTTCATTTGAACGACTTCTCCGATCCGGAATAGTCTTTTGATCTAATTGCCTTCTCAAAAATTCTACAGTGCATATAGTCAAAACACGGCTTTCAATCAAATTTGCCATCTCGGCTACTATTAAATCATCCAGTTATTTAAAAACTTACTAGCTATAAATAATTAAGAATGAATGAAAATTAGAAAACGCACTTCATAAGATAACTGTTTCTCATAGTTCATCTGCCTTTTCAAGAAATCGCGAAAGTGTTGCTTGGACTGATTATCAAGTTCCATAAAGTTTATCTTGAATCCATCACTCTCGAGGTCATTGTTATCTACTGCCTTATCCATAATATTATTCATAACATATTCAAAAAAGTATGAGCATCCTGTGCTATCTGATGTTAGCTGTAGCGTCATGCGTAGTAAAATGGGCAGAATATTATACTGCTTTACATCTGTAAAAATAAATACGATGGATATTTTGCTAATTTAATTTTGATAATTTGGTTCTTTTTTTACAATATAATATTCTTCGTGTTGAGGAAATATTAAGCTTGAGACTAAAAGCTGCCCAGAAGTTCTCGAAATCTAACGATGCTGCTAAACAATTAATTAAGCTAATATACCATGCAGTGTCCGAGATTTGTGAATTTATACTAAACATATTTTATACATTGGTTTGTACATATACATAAACACAAAAGGAAATAAATCAAGACATTACTATGCGATTGAAGTCAGAAAGGCATTGAACGAAGAAGTTAGTATCAATAAATTCTGTAAAATCAAATAAGGATTAACTGAATAACAGTATTCAAACTAAAATCTAGTTTTTAAAATACGCGAAAGACGGAGTGGTGAAAACTGAGAAATACTAGATAAAGAATACGCTGAACCGAAACAAATTCAAATGATACCAGATCCAAGACTGAGTGCTATACTTGTTGTAATTAGAATTATTTTGTTGGCTAGGTTAAATTGATGCACATTTACTGCTTTTTGGAATACATTCTCGATCCTTTCCAGACCTTTCAGTTGGTGGAATTGACTGAAAATGAAAATAATTTTCAAATGAACCCGAATTTTTGACAGTAATGGAAAATTCAGATTCCAGCTCTTCAATTTTTATCCATCGCACGAAAGTGAAATTGTTATCCGTTTCAGAAATTAATGTTAAACAGTCAAACACCTGCCTGAATGCTTTTTCATGTGCTCGAATAATCGAGGACAAGCTGCTCAAAGCCTTCATCAGTAATTCCTATAAGCAAGCAGAACGGCTAGAATATCAATTGAAGAAAACAATTTTCATTATTAGAACGACTAATTCCTAACAAATTAAAGTAACCACAATACTGATTTTGCCAAAATTTAAAGACTTAATGGCCAAAAAACTTTTTTTTAGAAATAAAAGGGAGAAAATTGTAAGTTGATTGAGAGAAGAATGAAATAAGTCAAATAAACCTCAGATGCATTAATTTCTTCCAGAACATTTAGCAAATAAGGTAATAAATCGGTCTCCAATATGATATCCTGGACATTTGGATTATTTTGTGCTAATAACGGTATTAATCGAGCTATCTCACATCGAACTGAATCACTATCACTTTTCTGAAAGCCATAATAAAATATGTTGGTCATAACAATTATATTCATCCAAGCCGAAAATCGAATCAAGTCTGGTTACAAATACTAAGACTCAGAATACTCACCAAAAACCTAATTACTTCAACAAGACCACCCAACTTGCAGAAGTCAGCAGCGCAGTCCATATCACAAACCAGTTCCTCCAGATTATCTACAATTTGCTTAATGCTAGTAACATCATCCTCAGTTTTTGCGATCAATTTCAGCTGCTCGATATTTTTTGACAAGTGCTTCACGGGGTCAGCCAAGTGCATCGCTTCAGCTACCGCGTTCTCAATAAACTTCTGATCCTGAAAACTCCCACAACAGAAGTGTGTACCGATCAATTACGCAAAAATTAAACAGCTTGCTGCATCATGTTTAATTCAGATATAAATTACAAGAGAAAATAGTAAAAAATTCTTACTTGCTTAGACAAGAGTTGATTTGCTTCGCCACTACTTTCAACATTTGCGGACTGCGCTAAACACAGCAATTTGGATAAACATTGAAGTGATGCAGTGTTTTGTTCACCCATTCTTCAACTGATACCAGTAAATATTAATACACATTAAAATAAAATAATAATTAAAAAAGTAAACGGAAAAAAGTACAGTAACTGTTTGCCTCGAGGAGGCTTATTTTGCGCTTATCAACTAATTTTCCTAAAATGTGACTTCAATAAGCTGATAACTAATGTTACAGTTATAACAACTGCTACTGCATCCACCACTAACTATCATCAACAGTCAACGCACACCGACCATAAAAAATCTGTCAACACAGAGATTACGAATTTCATAGAGATATGGCTAGATTTAATGCAGTCTTGAACCGTGACACATGTTTCAGGAATTTTGTTTATTGTATTATTTACTCTTTCGTCCAAATACTCACTCATATACTTTAACTTTGTAGTTTATACAATCTCTATTCCTTTCTTCTTCCATAATATTTACTTTTCTTCTTCTTTTTATCACCATTGCGTCATTTTCTTTTCTGCGATTTTTTGCATATATCGCTCTAAACTTGTTTGTTGTGAATGTAGTATTTCAGGAGTTGTCTTATACTTGGAGGAATTGGTTAAAGGTCTAGGCAATTACCAGCTTGAATTCTCTTTATCCGAATTTCCGTTTATCTTTTCTTCTGACTTAATAGGCTATTTAGCTTTCATTCAATTTCAAACATACTTGAGAAAAGCTGATTTTCCTGAAGCAAAAAGTTATTGGTAGTGCTCTGAAATTTAGCATGATGTATGCATGAATGATTGCTGTAATTATTGGAATTGTTCCAGGAAAACGAGCTACCATGAAACCGGATATTAAGGATCGTGACTATATGTATCGACTTATTATTGGGTTAGTGTTGATATTCACTTTCACTGTTGTTGCTATTTCATCTTAAGGATTGACATGGTATTTTAAATCTGAAGTGTAGTAAGATATGTCCTCTTGTTTTTTTGTTCATTCTCTGAAAAGAGAATAAGATTTGTACATATGCTTTGGAATCCATTAAATCGAAAGAAGTTAGTGTGCTCGCTGTCTCTTTTTTCGACAGGGGAAGGAAAACTTTGAATGTATAATAGTAAGTGCTACATAATAGTGATGATGTAACGAATATTCATATTTAGTGACGGTGATAGGAGAGAATAGAAGTGGTCTTGGTCTTTTACATCTTGAAGTTTCCGCCTTGTATTTTTCATTTTTTACAAATTAATTATGAAGTTATTCTCTCCCTTCTCTTTACAGGCAGCTTTTCTATGATGGTCATCAGCAGCTGGCGCTGAATTTGGCATCTACAATCGGTTGCTCGACACAACCACCTCCACCATCCGATAAACTTTTTCGTTTGGTTTCCATGGCGAAACAATTCGTTGATGTACCTGATCCGAAGGAGAAGGATGGTATTATACAGGCAAGTCCAGTGGAGGTTCTTTTAATACCCGAGAAACTGTCTGATACTATTCAATACCGATATCCTTAATCGTCCAGTGACAATTATTGGTTTTAGATGGATATATCCTCAGGCCTTGACCTAGAATATGACGCGGACATTGAGCCAACATCGCCGGAGCCGAGCATGTACGAAACAATTTATCTCACAGCCCATAAGTCACCATGTCGTGCATCGGCATTCAATTCTGATGGTACGGTAAAGTTTTTGGCTTATTATCCTCATTCTTTTGTTTTCTTGATTTTCACTTTTAGAGGTGATGCTCTAATGTGTCATGGATGAAAGTTTTGTATCTCAACGCATTACTTTCAGTTGGATCATTGGTTAAGCTCTGCTAATTAAGCAATGGTAATCTTAATTTCGTTTAACAACAGCGTTGTTATTACTTCAGGAACATTGTTAGCAACGGGATCGGCAGACTGTTCTATCAAAATTATGGATGTAGAAAGAATTATTGCTCGCGAAGTTAGGTGCGGTTCCTTAATTCAGAAGAAATAATATATGTGAAAATAGTTAATATTGTTTTGACATTGTCATATTTATTATTTCTTTATTAAAGATTTTTATGCATTTTTGTGTTTTTAAGTATTTTAATTTTTAAAAAAAAAATTTTGTTGTAGTTATTGTGGAACACATTATTATGTTATTAAAATTTCCATTTTCCTCGTGTGTTTTAAACATTGATCTATTGTTGATATGCATGTTGCAGAGGTGAAGTAAGTTTAACTGAAAATGGACCCGACGCACAGCATCCAATTATTCGAACTCTTTATGATCACATTGATGTAAGTCTTTTTAATTTTCTTTGCGTAAAAATGATTTTCTCAATGTTGACATTGTTATATTTCTTTTTTCTTAGTAAAAATTTCCGGGGATTCTTAATCTTTTGAAAAAAAAAGTTTTTGTTCTATAGAAATTTTCGTTGTACTTATTTGTGGAGCCATATCTGTTATGTTATTTAAAATATCCGTTTTCTTTACGTATTTATTTTTTGATAGGAAGTTAACTGCCTTGCTTTCCATCCACGAGAACAGATCATTGTCTCTGGAGCTAATGACTGCACAGTGAAAATGTTCGATTTTTCGAAAACGGCAGTGAAGCGAGCTATGAAAACCATTTTCGTCAGTTTCTGTTTTATTCTATATTTGATATTTTTCTTTTATTTTGGTTCTTCTAAGTTGGCTGTTTAGAGGTCATTTCGATTATTTATAGTAGCTTGATTGTTTATTTTTTCAATTAACATTTGTTTATAAATTTCAAGAAACAGCGAATAACATGTTTTTTAAGGAAGTGGAGCCAATTCGAGCACTTTCATTCCATCCTGCTGGTGAATTTTTATTGGTAGCAACCAGCCATCCGACTTTACGTTTATATAACATCGAAACGCAACAATGTTATGTGTGTAGTGTTCCCACTGATCAGCACCGTGATACTGTTATGGATGTTAGTTTTTTTATTATTTTTATTTTAAGCTCTTTTCCAAAGTGATGTGTTACTTTACCTACATATTTCGCCCACTAAAACAAACTTGCAATTAATTTATTTCGTGAAAGAAGTATTTTATGAAAACGAGGTATAATGTGGTCTATTTTAGGTGAATTATTCAGAAAACGCCCGACTCTATGTAACGGGTTCAAAAGATGGGGATGTGAAAGTCTGGGATGGTATTTCAAATCGTTGTATTGAAACATTTCAAAGAGCTCATGATGGTGCTCAGATATGCAGTGCTACTTTTACAAGAAATGGAAAAGTAAACCTTCTTACAAGTTTCAGTTATTCCAATTTATTGTGGTTTTTTGTCAGATCAGAGTTCACTTCTTTCGTTCGAGACAAATTTCTCGGCTATTCGTTTTTTTTGTGATAAGTATGAAGTAATATTAATCAAATTCACTTGTCGATCAGTTGTTGTTCTAATCGTGCATTATAATTTATAGTTTTGTTCGCATATCCTAATTTTTAATGTTTTTGGAAAGTAATAGTTACTCGAAGATTATCTGTTAGATTGCAGTATATATTAACTAGTGGTTTGGACAGTATTGTCAAACTTTGGGAACTATCAACGAACAGATGCCTTATAGCGTACACAGGAGCTGGTGCTACTGGCGTACAGGAGTATCCAATACAAGCATCTTTCAATCATAATGAAGACTATGGTGCGTATGCTTTTTTAATATTTTCTTCTAAATTCTTTCTGCATCTTACACTTTCTGAGAGCTTCCTGATCCCAAATACATACGACATAATGGAGTCACTGTGATGCTATTTCTATGAGAAATACATGCTTTCTTTTTTTCCTGACTAGTTTTAATTTTTTTATTTTTTTAAAGTTTCTACATAATTTATTCCAGTGCTATTCCCGGATGAGAAATCAGGCAGTCTTTGTTCATGGGATGCTCGCAACTCGGATAGGAAAAGGCTTTTGGCTCTTGGTAATTTATTTCTTTTTAATACCTTAGTGGTTTGTTTAGTTGTCAAAATTCTGATCCACTTCGTAATTTTTGTAATGTGATTATTTTCAGGACATACAGCGGCCACGAGGACGTTCAGGCATTCCCCAACAATGCCAGCATTTATTACAGGGAGTGATGATTTTAGAGCTCGATTTTGGTATAAGAAACTGACATAAATTGTATTAATTTAATTTAATTTGTTTAATTTGTTATTCAATTTTTTAGACTTAATTTGTTGATTTTGGTGGTTTTGAATTTAAATTTTTTGTTACTAATTTTTAATCTACTGAAAGCAGGTTATTGGTCTTAAAAACTTTATTTTCGAATGCACAGAAGCTCTCGACACATGTTGGTTTGACGATAAGTAAGATAATCGATTAAATTAAAATAGAGTCGAGTGATTTTCGACAGTTTTATTTTCAAATGTTTTACTTCTCATATTGTTTGAAGCCTTATTCGTCTCGTTTTTTAGTTGAAATTAATTGATTGTCTATTCAGGCATTAAAGTGAATATTAACTGAATTCCATTTTCAATTTTTAAGGCTATTAGAAATATATTAGGTTGTAGCCTCAACTGTGATCTTTTGATCTCTCCTTTCTTTATATCTGTAAAGTCTGAAAAACTTTCTCTCATAAGCTGTCATGATGATATCATTTTAAATGCGCTTTTCCATCTGGATGTGCTTCCCTTCTATTATTATGTCTAATTTAGTTTTTCGTTCATTATGCTCAAAGTACACGAAAAAAATGTTTTTCATTCAAATTTTTTTACATCATCGCAACAAATAATAATATTGCCCACTCACTTAAAACTAAATTTTATGAAGAAAAAACTTTCCAGTAACTTTTATCTCTTGATATTGCTCACAGATACACAAAAAATGAAAATTATCGAAGAAAATGAGATATTAAAAAAATGGCAGATATTTAAAGCTTACTTAACGATTAACCGAATTTGGCTAGTTTTCTTAATGCGCAGACTAAGTGTCATCATTTGAATTTTATTTGCGCAAACGGAATAAACAACTGCAAAATGTTCGCTTGTTCATATTTTTTTACTGTGTTATAATTGCATTTTGATGTGCTTTTATTCGCTAAAGCAGTTATTATAAAATATATCGAAAACAAATGAAAT